CTCCTTGAAAAAGCCATGGATGACCGTGTTATATGCCACCACATCAGGGCTAGGTGCAGGAGGAGCGGCGGCAGAGGCGGATGCGCGACATCGCCGGCGGGAACGGCCGTCGAGGTCGCACGCGCTGGAGAGCTATTTGGATTTTGGAGTCGCAAGTGATGAGCGTTTTGCTGGTCTTCCTCTCACACAACTTCTATGCTCCCTTCCCAATCTACAGTAAAAGCTTCTCTGCTTCTTTGAGTTTGCTGAATAAACCTAACAAAAGCGTGTTGCACAATATGGGACCATTTATCCTCCAAACACCCATTTTGGCTGATTTACTCACCTACCAGAAAATCCATGACGCAGAAAATAAACAGATTTGAATCTGGTCGAATCCAAACCAGAGCGCCACGGCTTTCCTAACACGCGACAAAATCAGTGAACCGGGTGTTCGAATGACTCACAAAATTTCGTCTTTTGTTAAGAAAACAAATAGGATGAAAAATGCTTAAAACTTATTTCTGGATTTTCTGAAATTGGTCCAAGACTTTTTTAATTTTCATTTGTGATATATACGGAAGTTCATTCGTTAAATTTTCTGAAGATCAGATTTCCATAAATTTCTAAAATTTCGTTTACTTGTTGAATGCACAAAAAAAAGGCGAAAGGAAGAGGAAAAAACAAGCCAGAAAGTGGAAAAGGTAACACTGGATAGTGGTCATGTTACAACACAATAACGGATGACTACGAGAAAAAATAATGAGGTGACTGATAGGCGCCGGCACCGCAGCCATAGATACAATTGTTTAAGGCCATCAGGTCTGGCTCTCGTGCTGGCTCCTTTCTTCCCGAAAACAAATCTCATGAGGGCAGCGGAAAAAAAGGAGCAGCGGCGCCGCTGCCTTGGACGAGCGAGTGCGACCAACCTCGAAGCACCGTCGGTCGCCGCCCTCGCCGCTGTCGCCGACGGTCACCGCCTCGCCGTCGGTCGCCAGCTCCATGCATGTAACATCGTGCACCCGTGGTTGTAGCTCCGATGATGACGATTGCAGCTCCGATGGCGAGGGCCACAGCTCGCCGGCGTGCTCGTCGCCGCTCACGCCTTATGCCACAGCTCATCGGTTACATATCACCGTCCTAACGTATCGGTCACCTGTTCCAGCAAAAACGAGCGCATGTCCCAGCAAAATCAAGCAATGGTTCCAACAAAAATCATCTTCGCTGCTGAGCCGTGATGCCGGTTGCAGCTTGCACTGCCGCGGGTTGTAGCAATTCGAGCCGCTGGTTGTAGCATGGCTGACACCAATTGTAGAAACAATTCCCCGATGCTGGCTTATGCAAGGGTATGCAATGTACTGTAGCAAAAGAAAATTTAGCTTGATCCAACAAAAACAGAACACGGTGGAACCAAAAAATGAGCCTCGGTTCCAGCAAACAAGGATGATGGTAGCAAAAAAAATTGGCTGAATCCAGAAAAAATAGAACACAGTGATAGCAAATTAGCAAAAGATGAGCCCCGGTTTCTAGCAAACAAAGGATGGTGGTAGTAAAACACTTGAACGGATCCAGCAAAAACAGAACACCATGGAAGCAAAAAATGAGCCCCCGTTCCGGCAAACAAGGATGATGGTAGCAAAAAATTGGCTGAATCCAGCAAAAATAGAACTAGGTGGTAGCAAATTAGTAAAAGATGAGCCCCGGTTCCAGCAAACAAAGAATGGTGGTAGCAAAAAACTTGAATGAATCCAGCAAAAATAAAACACCGTGGAAGCAAATTTTGGAGCTCTATCCAGCAAAACCAATGGTTCCGGCAAAAAAATCACTGTCTCCATTGCCGGCCACCGGGCGCAGTCACCATGGTTGGCAGGCTACCGGGCGCAGGTCCCAGCACGACGGATGACTGGTTCCAGCACGGCTCATCGCCGGTTCCGGCACACAGCGCGGTTGTGCAGTAAGAGCCCGACGTCGATAAAAAAAGCATCGGCGTCGGCCGGGGTCGAGCATGCGACGATGCCCCCCCGTACAGCCCCGCCCAACCTCCCAAGCATGACGCCCTCACATCTGGCTTGCTTCTCAGCTAGCGGCCATTGCTGATTTGGGATAGGATTAAAGCTGGAGTGTTGTTCGGCTCGACGGCGGCGAGAAGCTAGGCGCTGGGATACGGTAGCAGAGAAAGAGATGGGAGAAAATGAGCGCTGGGATACCCCTCCTCCCACCTCCTCCTCCCTTGCCGCCGCCAGAGGCGGGGCTGGGCGAAGCTCGGTCGCCGGTGGCGGCGGTAGGGCCCCGCTTGTCTCTTCGTGCGGGGTGGCCGGCGCAGGCCGACGGCCCCGGACCTGGTGGTGGCGCTTCCGTGGGGCTCCACCGTGCAGCGTCGCATCGGCGCTGGTGGTGGCGCGCGGGTGCGGTGGCGGCGTGATGGGCCACGCCCTGGTGGTGCACGGCCGGTCTGGTGAAGGCGGGCTGCCAGATCCAGACGTGGTGGGTGCGGGCTGCAGGCGGCGTGGGCTGCGGGCGGTCGTCTTCGCGGTGGTGGTCTACTGGCGGTGGCGGCGGCGCAGCGATGTGGGTCTCGCCCTTCCTCTCCTCTGGTTTTGGTCGGGGGTTGAAGGCGGGCTGGGGCTGGCGGTGGTGGATGTGTGCCAGCCGGATCTGACGCTTTTTTCCGGCGGGCGGCGTGGGTTGGGGCAGTGGCCCGGCGTGGCAGCTGCTCCGACTGTGGGCGGCGGCGGCGAGGTGGCTTGGCCCTCTGGGCGTGGCCACTTCCTTTCGCTGGGCCGGCATCACGACAGTTCGGCGGGCTGGCTACGGTGGCGGCTGGTTTTCCAGTGTCGGCTCGTTTGTAGGCAGCCCGTTTTGACCTTCGGTCCCTTTCCTCGTCGTCGGGTCACTACCGTAGTCAAAGGTTCGGCCCTCCCCCAGCTACGGTCCATCGCTCGTCTCGCGCTCGGCAGCAGGACCGAGCTCGTCTCGAGCCCGACAGCAGGATCGACCTCGTCTCGCGCCCGGCAGCAGGACCGACCTCATCTCGCGCCCGGCAGCAAGACGAGTCAATGGAGGCGTTGGGGGCAGCCCAGGGGTGCAAAAGGCGGGTCCTTTCCGCCCACATCTTTTGTTGGGGTAGAGGTGAGTCTCGAGTGAGGTGGTGTCCAGGTCTTGGATGTCGGGACGATGGCCCTGGTTGTGGTTCCGCGGTGCTCATGGGCAGAGCCCGTGGCTAGGTGCTGCCCGGTGGCCATGGTCGTGTGGGCGGCGTTGTCGCAGGAGTGTGGCGTTCGATAGCGGTGAGTGTTGGCCGGGGTGAAAACCTGTTCTATCTTCGGACGGACCGGCGGCAGCGAAGCTAGTTCCCTTCTTGAAGGCGTCGTCGCGGCTTTCATTGCCCGTCATGTTGCTCCAGGGGAAACTCTGATCCTCGGGTTAGGCGGTGGCGGCGCTTCGGTGTCGTATCCTTCCTGAAGCGCCGCCTTGGAGCCCACAGTTCGTCGTATGTGGCTTCATCTCTTCACGGTTGTTCACGGTTGAAGACCCCGGTTGCTCTTGTAGCGCTAGGGGGGTTGTTGCTGTGCTCGACGCTTATGTATCCTGCCTTGGGTGTGTGCGTGTGTAGTGTTGGCAGGTGTTTGTACCGGGTTGTTAATCATTGCTTTATATATAAAGCGGGGCGAAAGCCTTTTTCGGTACACCAAATAACAGCAAAGAAACATTTCTTGCATAACCATGGGCAGAACTAAATGAATGATGCACTGGACTAGACATAAAACTATGCTAAAAAATGGCTAAATCTTAATTTTTACATGCTGAATACAAACAGGAATTTGGCTGAATGCTTAGCTAGCTCTGCGACTGAATCTAGCTTTCTATGTAACCAAAGTTTCAGTAACATACGAGAATGAAGACCTTTTCAGAGCCTTTCCAATCCACCCCAATTCCTCGCAAACTCAGTTGACATCTAAGTTATGTTGTTCATCGAAAAGATTGAGGAAGAACGTAAGAATGGTTTGCCTTCAACTATTTTCAGATAGCGCACATGTCAGGGTAGCAGAGACCAAGATATGAACGGAGAAGGTAAAGGCTGCAAGTTGGATTGTTGGAACCCTTACTGTCGCAGAGCAGTACACAAATTCAAGGGACCGGAACTGCAGCAGTACACAAAATTCAGTGTACAAGAGCAAGAAACTTTCGTCAAGCAAATGCTTTGATTCCTTCTCCTCTGTCACCCGATCTGCAGACTAAAGTGAAAGTTCAGTCACACCAGTAAATTCATGGCCATACCATTACCTACATTATGAGGAAAAACAGCTGAATCCTAAATGAGGTAAAGAAGAAAGAAATCATACTGGAAATACTTTTCTCACCTTTATGCAACAAGCTCCACCAGTACAACTGACAGCAGCATAGAGTATAGGAGATTTCAGCATGAGCACTGAGAATTAAAAGTAAATCCACCATTGCATACGTAGCAGACCACTGAGAGTGACATTGCTAAAAATACATGCAAATAAAGGAATGGCACTGTTTTACATAGATTGCAAAATCACAGATGGCTCAACAATCATTGCCGTTTTCCACAGCGGGAAGCAGCATAGCCATCCATGTTAGAAAGGTGGCCCCTCAGGTGATGCAGATGCCTTGATTTCAATGGGTATGAGCTGCTCCACTTACAGAGCAGTAATTCAAGCATAGAGGTGTACTTTGATAAATGCTGCAATCCTAGGAGGATTGTAACCCAAACTCCCGCCTTTTCAATGAAATGAAACGCAAAGGTATTTTGCGTTTTCTCGAGAAAAAAATCCATGTAACTATCTCATATTATTGTTTGCTGGTTTCAAAACAGTTGCTGGTTTTCAGCATGTCTGAAATAAGCGTCGCTAGGTATTTCGAAGTCACTCAATCTTTTCTGTAGAGACAGTGCAGCGTCATGCATAAGATTGGATATCTTAAGCAGGCAGGAGGGCTTTACGCAAGCAAATTCAATTGTGCTTTCCGAGGAGTTAATCTCATATGCAACATACCAGCTAGACAACTAATCCGTCGAAAATTTGATACTTTGCAGGGAGCAATTTCATATCCTCCTGATATTTGCTTTTCCTTGAAAAGAGAGAAAACATCAATGAAGTAGTTGAAGCTTCAAGTGATATGCTCTTTCCATCAACTTTAGACAGATAATATCCGGCCTTGGCAATCTCACCTTTTTCCAACAACATTCTGATGATATCATTCATGAGACGGGAGCTGGGGACTATACCACTCCTGTCCATAAACGAAAACATATTGTCAGCTTCTTCCACTGATCCTTCTTCCAGAAGATTTTTTATCATTACTCCATAAGTACATTCATTAGGCACCAACCCACTGGCTGATATTGTACCGAACAACTCCTTAGCTTCTTCTTTTCTTTGAACCTTGTACATTGCATTAATCATGGTATTGAGTATTGTAATACTGAACTTTACAATCATTGCTCCTAATTTCTGGAACAGGACAATCGCTTCGTCTGCACAATTATTTCTACAAAGACCTCCAAGTATTATACTGTACGTGGAAATGGTCACTGTTGTTCCACTTTCAATCATCTGATGGAACATTTTCATTGCAGCAACAGTTCTCCCAGAATGAAACAACCCATCCAGTATGATGCCATATGTCACAGTTGTAGGTTTAACTCCCTTGCACATCATTTCTCTAAACAGAGTCAAACCATCATCGATCCTTCCATTTCTACAATAGCCATTAACAAGTGTACTGTAAGTAACAATATCAAGCTCAACACCAACTGATTCCATGGCATTAAGCATTCCGAATGCTTTATCCATCTTCCCGACTAAGCAATATCCATCAATCAGTGAATTAAATGAAGTGTCATCAGGCCTATCACCTATGTCTATAACCAAGTCAAAGATATCATGTGCATCCATAACCCTGCCTTCCTTGCACATACTGTTTATTACTGAATTGAAGAACACAATGTTAGGATGAGGAATACCTTTGTTTATCATTTGAGAAACCAACTCCTTAGCTTTAACCAAACCACCATGCATACAAAAGCCCTGAATTAGGGACTGATAAATAGCTCTATCCGGCTGTACTCCCAAGGCAACCATCTGATTAAATTTTTCCATAGCATCGGTCAACCTACCCATTCTAGAAAGTGCTGATATTACAGTTGAATATGTGACAACATTTGGACTCACACCTTGTTGCTGCATTTCCGTAAATATGTGCATTGCATCATCCATCATTCCGCGTTTAGCATAGGTATCGATTAATATGGTGAAAACATGGCAGTCGGCTGCAATACCATTGCTTTTCATTGAATTAAAGAGATCAATCATATCAGTAAAGCATCCTTCTCTGGCATGCCCATGAAGCAAAGTACAATACGAGATGATATCAGGTTTTTGGCCCTTGGCTGTCATGGAATCAAAAAATTCTGCAGCTTCTTTGCTACTTCGGTGCTTGCAAAGGGAGGCCAGGAACGAGTTGCAAGTAACAACATTTGGTGTAAGACCCCGGCTTTTCATTTCTCTGAACATTTTAGCAGCCTCTTTCAACCGCCCAGATGTGGCATATCCATTGATCATGCAATTATATGTCACTGTATCGGGTTGAGCACCTTTAGCAACCATCTGACGAAGGACTAGCTCTGCCTTGTCCACTTCTCTGACCTTGCACAACGCATCAATAATCGAGTTATATGTCACCACACTGGGCACAATCCCTTGCTGCATCATTTCATGGAATAGACTGCATGCCTTCCCTGTTTCACCCTCCTTAAAAAAGCCATGGATGACCGTGCTATACGCCACCACATCAGGGAAGCAGCCACCTCCTTTTCCCGCCACCATCTGGAGCAGGTCGAGCGCCCGCTGACTCATGCTATTGTCGCATAAGCCCTTCAGAACAGTGTTGTACGAAACGGCATTAGGCACACAGCCGAGCTCGGACATCCTGTGGAGGAGCACGTTCACAGCCTCATCCGTCCGTTTCGCGTAGCAGAGGCACTTGAGGAAGGTGTTGGCGCCGGTCTGGTCTGTCTTCAGGCCCTTCCTGAGGAAGCAGCCAAATAAGGCAAGCCCTAGGTCCGGACGACGCGCACGGCAGCAGCAGTCCATGAGGATGTTGTAGGTGCAAACTGTGAGCGCCGCCACCTGCGCGCCGGCTTCCTCTCTGCACACACGGTTGAAGAGAGCCACTGCAAGGGCGGGGCCATCTCTGATGCAGGCACCGGAGGCGGGCGCGCGGGCGAGGGCGGCAAGGAAGCCGTTCAGGGAGCGCTCCGGGACCGGGGTGGCCTGACCGAGCAATTCGTCGAACAGTTTGTGAGCGTCTTCCAGGCTGAGCGTCCCGGCGCGAACACGCTCCGTGGCCGCGGCAAAGGCGTCTCGGGGAGACCAGGAGCGTGAGGGCGACGACGTGGAGGTGGAGGTGGAGCAGCGGCGGAGGAGCCGGAGGCGGGGTATCAGTGTGGTGGGGGAGGAGCTGCCGCGGGGGAGGCGGAGACGGAGGCGAGACATCGGCGCGGTGGAATAGCGGCGGAGGCGGATGCGGAGGCGGGAAAACGGCGAGGTAAAGGAGTGGCGCAGGCCGGACTTCAGCCGGAGTAGGAGCGGCGGCGAAGGCGGATGCGGCGGGACATCAGCGTCGGGGACGGCCGTCGTGTTCGTTCGTGCGCGGCGGAGTGTTTGGAGTGAATCTTTTGAGTGGGTCCCGTCTTCCCGTCACTCAATCAAGCATTTGCCTTCGATTGTCTGTGGTTGATCCAACGTCTCCAATCAACTAGTGTTAAAAAAAGCTTACGGCCGAGTAGAGTGGTCTTTCCTCAATGAGATTGTGCTTAGATTGGGATTTCAATAAAACTGGGTAAACTTGATTATGCAATGTGTAACCTCACTGAAGTACCGGGTCCGGTTTAATACAGAAGAAACTGGGAGTTTTAAACCCACTAAAGGATTAAGGCAGAGAGATCCTTTATCTCTATATTTATTCTTGTTATGCACAGAGGGACTGACCGCTCTATTAGAAAACGCAGAGGAGAATGGGAACATCTCAGGAATAAAGGTTAGCAGGGATGCACCATCGATTTCAAACCTTCTCTTTGCCGATGATTCGCTGATCCTTATGAAAGCAAATGTTATGAACGCGGAGGCGTTGAAATCGGTTTTAAACTCCTATTGTGCGGCCTCGGGGCAGATGGTGAGTGTTGAAAAGTCTAGTATATTCTTCAGTCCCAATACCAAGGTAGAAGATAAAGGGCAAATCTGTTCAATTTTGAATATTATGACCGAAGCACTTAATGATAAGTATTTGGGTTTGCCTGCAAATGTGGGTATGGACAAAAGTGACTGTTTCCAATTCCTTATTGATAGAATTATTATGAAAATCAGTGGATGGAAAGAAAAACTGCTATCTGCAGGTGGAAAGAAAATTTTGCTCAATTCTATTGTACAAGCTATCCCAGCTTATGCCATGTCCGTCTTTAAAATTCCTAAAAAGAACTTGCAAGGGAATCATCGACGCAATGTCGTAATTTTGGTGGGGTGACGAGGACAACCAGAAGAGAATGCATTGGATGACGTGGTGGAAGATGTGCGTCCCAAAAGACCAAGGAGGTATGGGGTTCCGAGATATCCACTGCTTTAATCTGGCATTGTTAGCCAAACAAGCATGGCGTCTACTTGATAATCCTGAGTCTTTATGTGCTACTATCTTGAGAGTTAAATATTTTCCGGACGACGATTTAATGAGTGCAAATCTAAAAAAGGGCTTCTCCTTTACTTGGCAAAGTATCATGGCGGGAGTGAACTGTCTGAAAAACGGTTATATTTGGCGAGTTGGAAACGGACATAATATTGATATTTGGAGAGATGCATGGATTCGGAACTGTGTGAATAGGAAAATTATTACTCATAAAAGGGGACAACTACTATCAAAGGTCTGTGATCTTATTGACCCAGTCACGAATTCTTGGGATGAAGATTTGGTGAGATAAACATTCTGGCCAATTGATGCTCAAAGGGTATTAGCAATTCCACTTCCCATGCGTAATATGCTTGAATTTATTGCTTGGAGCCCTACAAAAAAATGGTAAGTTCACTGTTCGATCGGCTTATTTGAAAGAATGGAACCAACAACATGCGAAAAAATTAGAACATGCAAATGGAATGGGTAGAACCAATGTCAACCCTATATGGGGTAAGATTTCGAAACTATCCTGCCCGACAAAAATTAAAATTTTCATATGGCGTACACTGCATGGTACCCTCCCATGCCGAGTTACACTTGCCAACAGACATATAAAAGTTTCACCCATTTGCCCTTCATGCTTGAATGGACCGAAGGATACAAAACTTGTCTTGTTTCGGTGTCAGAAGGCGAAAGAAGTTTGGAAAAAATTAGGCCTACAAGAGTGAAGGAAATATGCCCTAGAGGCAATAATAAAGTTATTATTTATTTCCTTATATCATGATAAATGTTTATTATTCATGCTAGAATTGTATTAACCGGAAACATAATACATGTGTGAATATATAGACAAACAGAGTGTCACTAGTATGCCTCTACTTGACTAGCTTGTTAATCAAAGATGGTTATGTTTCCTAACCATAGACAAAATAGTTGTTATTTGATTAACGGGATCACATCATTAGTTGAATGATCTGATTGACATGACTCATTCCATTAGCTTAGCACCCGATCGTTTAGTATGTTGCTATTGCTTTCTTCATGACTTATACATGTTCCTATGACTATGAGATTATGCAACTCCCGTTTACCGGAGGAACACTTTGTGTGCTACCAAACGTCACAACGTAACTGGGTGATTATAAAGGTGCTCTACAGGTGTCTCCAAAGGTACTTGTTGGGTTGACATATTTCGAGATTAGGATTTGTCACTCCGAATGTCGGAGAGGTATCTCTGGGCCCTCTCGGTAATGCACATCACATAAGCCTTGCAAGCAATGCAACTAATGAGTTAGTTGCGAGATGATGTATTACGGAACGAGTAAAGAGACTTGCTGGTAACGAGATTGAACTAGGTATTGGATACCGACGATCGAATCTCGGGCAAGTAACATACCGATGACAAAGGGAACAACGTATGTTGTTATGCAGTCTGACCGATAAAGATCTTCATAGAATATGTAGGAACCAATATGAGCATCCAGGTTCCGCTATTGGCTATTGACCGGAGACGTGTCTCGGTCATGTCTGCATTGTTCTCGGACCGTATGGTCCGCACGCTTAAGGTTTCGATGACAGTTATATTATGAGTTTATGAGTTTTGATGTACCAAAGGAGTTTGGAGTCCCGGATGAGATCGGGGACATGACAAGGAGTCTCAAAATGGTCGAGACGTAAAGATCGATATATTGGACGACTATATTCGGACATCGGAAAGATTCCGAGTGGTTCGGGTGTTTTTCGGAGTACCGGGGAGTTACGGGAATACGGAGGAGAAGTATTGGGCCTTATTGGGCCATACGGGAAAGAGAGAGGGGGTGCCTAGGGCAGGCCGCGCCCCCCCCCCAAGGCCTAGTCCGAATTGGACTAAGGGGAGGGGCTGCGCCCCCTCCTTCCTTCCCTTCTCTTTTCCCCTTCCTTGACTCCTACTCCTACTACATGGAAGGACTCCTAGTTGGACTAGGAAAAGGGGAATCCTACTCCCGGTGGGAGTAGGACTCCCTAGGGCGCGCCATAGAGAGGGCCGGCCCTCCCCTCCTCCACTCCTTTATATACGGGGGCAGGGGGCACCCCATGGACACAGAAGTTGATCTTCGTGATTGTTCCTTAGCCATGTGCAGTGCCCCCCTTCACGATATTACACCTCGGTCATATTGTAGCGGTGCTTAGGCGAAGCCCTGCGACGGTTGAACATCAAGATCGTCACCACACCGTCGTGCTGATGGAACTCCTCCCCGAAGCTTTGCTGAATCGGAGCTCGGGGTGCGTCATCGAGCTGTACGTATGTCAAGAACTCGGAGGTGCCGGAGTAATGGTGCTTGGATCGGCCGGATCGTGAAGACGTACGACTACATCAACCGCGTTGTCATAACGCTTCCGCTTAACGGTCTACGAGGGTACGTAGACAACACTCTCCCCTCTTGTTTCTATGCCATCACCATGATCTTGTGTGTGCGTAGGAATTTTTTTGAAATTACTACGTTCCCCAACAGTGGCATCCGAGCCTAGGTTTTATGTGTTGATGTTATATGCACGAGTAGAACACAAGTGAGTTGTGGGCGATATAAGTCATACTGCTTACCAGCATGTCATACTTTGGTTCAGCGGTATTGTTGGATGAAGCGGCCCGAATCGACATTACACGTACGCTTACGCGAGACTGGTTTTATCGCCGTGCTATGCACACAGGTGACTAGCGGGTGTCAGTTTCTCCAACTTTAGTTGAACCGAGTATGGCTACGCCCGGTCCTTGCGAAGGTTAAAACAACACCAACTTGACAAACTATCGTTGTGGTTTTGATGCGTAGGTAAGAACGGTTCTTGCTCAGCCCGTAGCAGCCACGTAAAACTTGCAACAACAAAGTAGAGGACGTCTAACTTGTTTTTGCAGGGCATGTTGTGATGTGATATGGTCAAGACGTGATGAGATATAAGTTGTTGTATAAGATGATCATGTCTTGTTGAAGTTATCGGCAACTGGCAAAAGCCTTATGGTTGTCTCTCTATTGCATAAGATGCAAGCGCCAAATAATTGCTTTACTTTATCGCTATGCGATATCAATAGTTGCAAGAGCAATTGTTGGCGAGACGACCATGCGACGACACATTGATATAGATCAAGATGATGGAGATCATGATGTCATGCCGGTGACGATGGAAATCATGACGATGCTTTGGAGATGGAGATCAAAGGCACAAGATGATGATGGCCATATCATGTCACATATTTTGATTGCATGTGATGTTTATCTTTTATACATCTTATTTTGCTTAGTTCGACGGTAGCTTTATAAGATGATCTCTCACTAAATTTCAAGATAAAAGTGTTCTCCCTGAGTATGCACCGTTGCCAAAGTTCGTCGTGCCCAGACACCACGTGATGATAGGGTGTGATAAGCTCTACATCCATCTACAACGGGTGCAAGCCAGTTTTGCACACGCAGAATACTCGGGTTAAACTTGACGAGCCTAGCATATGCAGATATGGCCTCGGAACACGAAGACCGAAAGGTCGAGCGTGAATCATATAGTAGATATGATCAACATAGTGATGTTCACCATTGAAAGCTACTCCATTTCACGTGATGATCGGTTATGGTTTAGTTGATTTGGATCACGTGATCACTTAGAGGATTAGAGGGATGTCTATCTAAGTGGGAGTTCTTAAGTAATATGATTAATTGAACTTTAATTTATCATGGACTTAGTCCTGGTAGTATTAGCATATCTATGTTGTAGATCAATAGCTCGCGTTGTTGCTTTTATATGTTTATTTTGATATGTTCCTAGAGAAAATTGTGTTGAAAGATGTCAGTAGCAATGCGGATTGGAT